ACAAGCCCACAACATGGTCTGTGGTGTCACTGGCTGATGGGGGACTCGAGGAACCTGTGTCCATCCCTGCCAGGCGTGCGCAGGGACGGAGAGGGGGATACAGCGGAAAAATACGGGAGGAGGAGAAATAAAGGGGAATGAAAGCAGCACAAGGAAATAAAGGCGAACCAGAGGTGAGAAGGAGAAAGGAAAGGACAAAGAGACCATCAGAGGGTGAGGCTGGGAGAGGGAGAAGAGATGGGGAGCGCAGTGCCGGGAGAGGGGAGCGCGGCTGTGTGTGTGCACAGGCGGCAGAAACCAGAGGAAAGGGAAAAAAAAAAAAAAAAAAAAAAAAAATGGCAGTGAGAATTGATGAGGCACAGAGAAGGGAAGAGTCTTTTCATCAGCAAGTTTGCTGGATGAAGCCAGGAGATAAATCACCCGGTGGAAGGCACCGGCTGCCTCTCTCCCTCTGTCATCTGTCTAATAGCCGGGCTCCGGGAGATAAATGGCTGCAGCTGAGCCCCGGCTCTCCTGCCCTTCCCTCTCCCTTTCCGCAGCCAGAAGAGCCCCACGCTTCCCCCGGCGTGCTGCTGGATGTGGGGCGATGCACAGCCCTGCACCCCGAGGGGGACCCCGACTGCTCCGGGGGTCTCTTGGCTGGGGTTTTTTTTTCCAGGAGCGGGGCTGTGTTCCGCTCTGCCAGCAGCGATGTCCCCAAGGGCTGGCAGACACCCCAGCCCATGTCACATCTCCCCAGGGGCCGTGAGCTCTGCCAAGCCCCTGTCTGTTCTGGGTGATGGCTTTAAGCAAGCAGAGCACACAGCAGCGGCGACACGGCCATCGCTCTCGAGGCTTCTCAGCGCTGCCGCACTTCGACGGATGCTAAGCCTTCCCGTCCCTGTCACTGGTCCTGCCAGCTCCCGGCAGAGGCAGATGAGAAGTGGCAGTTGGATGCTGTGGGAAAGTCCTTCCCCCAGCCCTGTCCCCACCGCCTTTTGCTCTTTTCGACGGCGTGATTCAAACCTGCAGCCAGCCCTTGGGAGAAGACTTGGCGATGGGGGGACAGTATCTCTGCTGAGAGCAGGATCCAGCCTTCATCCCAGGGAGGATGAGGATAACCAGGGCATCGCACCCCCGGCTTTGCTGGGTTTGCAGCTGGAGACACGCAGAAGGTGCCGGTCCAGCCTCTCTGCACACCGAGACAGACGGGAGCGAGCTGTACAGCAGCCCCCAGCCACGCACAGCCCCACAGAAGGGATCTCCTCCTGCTGGTGATGGGAAACTCCTTCATGCAAAGGCATGTACAGGGAAACCCCCCCAGTGCTGTGGGTCAGGATTTCTGGGCTCGGTCCCCATCTTAGACCCGCGCTGGGACTGTGGCAGAACAGTGCAGGCTTGCCCTGGCCAAGTGCTGTGTCCTTCCAAACCCAGCAAGCACGGCAATGGCAAAGCCAGTGCTCAGCATCTTCGGAAGCCAAATCCATCCCCTCCCTCCCGCTGGTAAAAAAGGGTCTGGGATGTTTCAGCAATGCTGCTGGGGAGCTTGCATCTCCGTACAAGCGGCTCCAAAGCTCTGGGATGGGACAAGCATCTGCTCTGTTCAGAGCAAAGATCCCACCACAAACCTTGGCAGGGAGTTTACCGCTGCGTCAGAAAACAAACAAATAAATAAATAAAGAAAAAGACACCGAATCTCCCCCCGTAGCGTGGCAACCGCTCCCCCCCGCATCCCCGGCAGCCTCCTTCATCTGTATGCTCCGTCACAGCCCCGCACCATCCGCCGGGTGAGCACCATGGCAACACCGTGGGTTTTAAACACCGGAGTTTGTGCTGCCATCGCAAGCGGCGTTCGGCAATTTAATTAAGCAGCTGGCAAAAGGAAAAACTTTGTCTGTTTGAGGCATTTTATTAAATTCCGGCATATTATGCAGCTCTGCGTCTTCGCCCTCTGGTTGGAGGGATGGGAGGATGCTCCCGCCCCAGCTTTGCTGCAGCTTCACCCCC